AAACTTTTTGTGTATGTAAATTTTATGTGTTACAATACATAAACCATTGCAACAGCATATTCCTGAGATTAAATCAAGTAAAAAAGTCCTGTACTACTTTTCCCTCCGACAAACAGTTATCGAGATATTATAAGCTAAACATGTAAAAAGTTATAATTTTTCTCTTGAATATCTCAAAAAGTAGTAGGCAAATAAAAAAATGTTTCAGACAAAAGTTGTTCATATTATTTAGTAGAATAAGATAGTATAATAAACAATAGGGAGTTCCATTTAAAAAAATGACAGCGACCTCCATATAACCATAAAAAATTTATTTTTTCGAAAATTTATTTTTTCATTATATAGCCCTTTTAAAACCGTATAACTTTTGCCTGAAACATTTTTCTCTAAAATGTTCTATTTCCGAAATAAAGGGGCTGTACGGGTGGTCTGAATCACCCTTATATTAAATACATGAAGAATCTTATATTGTCTAAATTATGTATAAAAAGAGCTATGCCGTGAATAATATATATACGTTACAGAAAGTGAAAGCGTGGCCAGCACCTCGAGAAATGCATCGAATATTAAAATGCTTAACAATTATGCGCAAGCACTACTGCAGCAGAATTGTAATAAACCATCAATAGATGAAGAAACTGAAGGGGAAGAACATGGTAAAATTAGTACCGATGAGCATTATATTATATATAAATATAATAAATTTAGCACAAAAATATATTTTTTATTCTGCAGGTCAGTACATTGACGAAGAATATATTGAGTCTGAAAATGTTCCTGAGTATATCAATGACATGGAAAATAAAGATGAAGCTGAAGAAAATGAAAATAACAATGCCGCATGTTGCAGTAAGTACTAAAAACTTTTTAACGTTTCTATGCTATATGTAGATAGAATATATGTAGTTATGTAGATATTATTTTAAAATTAATTAGAATACAAATATTAGAATAACGAGCAAATCTAGATCTTGTTCACAAATTAATTTAATAGTATATTTTGTTTTTGATATACATATAAATTTTTACGTTTAAAAACATTATAACGGTATGTTTAACATATCCGTTCAAACAAATGTTTTATACTGAAATGTTCGTTTGAACGGATATGAAAGTGTTTTTCTTACCGTTGCGATTTTATTTTAACGTTAAACATAATATGTATATCTATATCAAAATGTTTTTTTAATTAATTGGCAAATAAGATTCATGGCATTACTTGTTATCTTTGTGTGATATTTATTAATATAATAATTAATTTTAACTTTACACGAACGTTATTAACTTGTATAGATAACTATTAATTTATTTTCCAGATTGTAGAAAAGAGCAAAAACATTTCGAAACCGTGGTCTTAAAAAAACTAAACGAATTGTTAGAAATAGCACGAAATTCTAACCCAAGTGAATACAAACGTCGCAATTATCCTCTTCTTCCCCCGATGCCATTCAGTGATATCAACACGCTACTACAATTCGATTGTGATCTCAAAGAAAACGATCAAATGCGAGATCAATTTGTAAGTGTGCGAATATATGTATTAATATTCTGAAATTGCGCTTATATATTGTTTCTTCAATAATTTAATTGTTTCACTGGTATGTTTAGATGCAAAAAATTCAAGAAATCGGCGGGAAAAATATTCAAAAAACGGTCAAATTTTCGATGGAAGCAGTTATGACCGATGATTTGACCCAAAAAGTTGTGTGGACCCTTGGAGCTGAGAATATACCTAAGATATCAAAATTTACATTCCCATATCTCATTATTGGTATGTAAACATATACATATGGGGCAAAATTTGTAAACCGGGCCACCGGCCTCTCCATAATTCATGTGCATCAAAAAAGTTGTGCTTGGGCTTAAAATTTAGCTTAAAAAGTCTACTTTCGAATGCTGTGTGCAATATTTGAAA